GCCCGTGTCTGCACCTCGACACCTGCCTGCACCCAGCTCCCTGACCTTCCCCCAGGTGGCCCCTGCGGAGAGCCAGGCCCGAGTGAGTGACGGTGAGGGGCTGCACCCCACCCCCCTCAGCCCGTGTCTGCACCTCGACACCTGCCTGCACGCAGCTCCCTGACCCTCGTCCCCAGGTGGCCCCTGCCATCTGTACCTCCTCCCCGGGCACCAATCCCTCCAACCCCAGGTGAGAGAAGGGGGAGAAAAGATGGGGCCTGGGTGGCTGGGCTTGTATCCCCACCCCCCTTTCACCTAGAAAGACTGGTCTATATAAATGGTCCTGGACAGCTGAGGACAGCGCCCTTTGCCTTCACACCGTGTGGAGACTGTGCCCTCCAACACTGGGAGAGAACTTAGAAGACGGAATTTAGTCTCTGGGGCCCCCCAGCTCCAGGACTTTTACTTGAAGTGCCATCTGTAGCCAGCAGGTGGCGATGCTGCCACCCACTTATTCTTGGACGACCCCTGTGGGCACCTGCAGCCTGTTCAGGACCTTTGTCAACCTGTGATTGAGGCCTCTCAGTCCTTTCTGAGCCCATTCAGTCAAGTGATTGGCGGAGACCCCACTTGGTGGAGTGAAAATGCTCACAGAGCCTATATAATGGCCGGGAAGTGATGGGTCCAGGAGCAGGCTGGCAGAGAACATGATTCCCTATAACCCATTTCAGTTCTGTGACATAATCCAGTGTCCACAGTTCTAGTGCCCCTTATCTGCACAGCTTGGGGACCAGAAGTATTTTGGTTTGGGGATGTTTTCAGATTCTGGAGTATTTGCATACACACAAAGAGACATCCAGAGGAAACCCAATTTTAAACATAAAATTCACCCACATACACATAATAGCCTGAAAGCAATTCTGCAAAATATTTTTAATAATTTTGTGCACAAAACAGTTTGTGTGCCCTGAATCATCAAAAGTTAGGTTTGGAATTTTCCACTTGTGTCATGTGGGTGCTCAAAAAGTTCCAGGTGTTGGAATATTTTGGATTTTTGGATTAGGGATGCTCAGGTTGACAGATAAGAGGTGGTGGGACCTCTAAGAGGTGGGGCTTAGTGGGAGAGCATTAGATTTGCTGGCAACAAACCCACTGGCCCTCAGAAGGGTCCAAGGTAGTTCTCTTAGGATTCTCCTTAGATCTCACCCTGGGCCCCCCTGGGCTATTCTGGCTTCCTGTTATATATGTTATCGGTCCTCCTTGCATATCCTCCCATCTTGATGCCTGCCATTCATCATGTGATGAAGCCAAGAGGAACTCATCAGAGCTGGAATCATGCAGTTTAGACTTTCAGCCTCTGAATCTGTGAGCTACACAGACCCCTTTCCTTTAGAGTACCCAGCAAGTGAGAAAAAAGAGAGATTCACTCTCTGAGCCATGAACAATACAATGCACAAGTGGCAGCTGCCTGCAGAGAGATGACCTTCAAGTGCTCGATGTCTCATGAGAAGCGTCTGTGGCTCCTACCTGTGATTCGGTTTTCAATCTCCCCCTGCATCTGGAGAGAGTCCACATAAATGGTCCGGTTCCCAATAAAACGTGCACAGGCGATTCCCCGGTAAGGCTGGCAGAATCCGTCCTCCTGGTAGTCATCCCTGGTGAAAGCACACAAGGTCCGTCAGCGCAGCAGGAGATTTCAAACATTCCCAATGATTTGATTTTTAAATCCAGCATCTTACAATCCAAGAATTTTGCCCTTTAGTATTTACCCAGAGCTGAAAACTTAGAAGTCCACACAAAAACTCACATGAATATTTACAGCAGCTTTGTTCAAAATTGCTAAAACTTGGAGAAAACTAAGATGCACTTCAGGAGGCAACTGGACAAACAGAAATGGATGCACCCAGACAGTGGAACAGTATTCAGTGCTAACATGAAGTGAGCTATTGAGCCACATGAAGGGAGGAAACTGAAATGCACATTACTGATGAAAGGAACCAATCTGGAAAGGCTACATACTGTGTGATCCCCACGATATGACACCCTGGAAATGCAGAAGTCTGAAATCAGTAAAAAGACCAGTGGTTGCCAGAGGTAAAGTGGGGGGACGGGCAAAGGCAGGCAGAAAACTTTTAGGGCAGAGAAACTATTGCCAATTATCGTGGTCATCACGGGGGTCATTACACATTGGTCAAAATCCATAGAAGGTAAAACACAAAGAGTGACCCTGAACGTAGAGCACAGAGTCCAGTTGACAATGATGTATCATCGTGGGCTCATCAACTGTAACTAATAGGGGAGACTGTGGGGAGGGTGAGGGGAGAGAACAGGAAACTCTCTTTCTGTTCAGCATTTCTGTCCACCTGAAAGAGCTCTCAAATTAATCTCTCAATTAAGAACAAAACCCAAACACCCTGGCATTGTTGAAGGAGTGTGGGACGCAGGACGGCTCCTTAATGGTGAGACGCGGCTGGGCAGGTGGTTCTGCATAAACGCACAAATGCACCACTGGATAGATCTTCCAAACAACAGTGAAACAAAGAAACTACAGAACTCAATAATACAATCAATAACTTCAACTTAACTGACATATATAGAAGATTTCATCCTTCAATGAGCAAATAAATTTTCTTCCCATCAGCACCTGGATCCTTCTCTAAAACAGACCAGGTATTATGCCACAAAGCAACTCTTAGCAAATATAAAAAAGTAGAGATACTACCCTGCATTTTATCAGACCACAATGGAATGAAACCAGAAATCAGTGATAAAACAAAAAAAATAAAAGCAACTCTAACACCTGGAGACTAAATAATATGCTATGAAATAAACAATAAATTGCAAAAGGTATCAAGGAAGAGATTAAAATATTCTTAGAGGTAAATGAGAACACTGATATAACATTGAAATCTCGAGAATGCGAACCATTCAGAGTGGCTCCCACACTCTAGGACACTGTGAAGACAGTTCTAAGAGGAAAGTTCATTGCATGGAGTTCATTCTTTCAAAGAAGAAAAAGTCAATAAATAAATGATTTAACATTACATCTCAAACCCTAGAAAAAGAAGAACAAATCAACCCCAAAACAGTAGAAGACAGGAAACAATTAAAATCAGAGCTGAAATCAATGAAATTGGAACAAAGAAAATTTGAAAAAATTGACAAAACAAAAAGTTGGTTCTTTGAAAAAATAAATTAAATTGATAAACTATTAGCCATGCTAATGAAGAGAAGGAGAGAGAAAACTCAAATCACTAACGTCCATGATAAAAAAGGAAATATCATGATGGACACCACAGAAACACATAAGATACTTAGAAATTACTTGGAAAATTTGTACTCCAGTAAAATAGAAAATACCAAGACATCAACGAATTTCTAGAGGCATATGATATACCCAAACTAAATCAGAATGACATACACAATTTAAACAGATCAATTTCAAGCAAGGAAACAGAGGATACCATCAGAAGCCTACCAACCAAGAAAAGCCCAGGACTAGATGGACACACAGCTGAGTTCTACAAGACCTTTAAAGAATAACTAATACCAATACTCCTCAAAAAAGAGGAAGCACTTCCAAACACATCCTATGAAACCAATATCACCCTGATTCCAAAACCAGACAAAGACACATCAAAAAAAAAAAAAAAAAAGAAAAGAAAAGAAAGAAAATTTCAGACCAATATCTACAATGAATATAGATGCAAAAATTTTCAATAAAATTCTGGCAAATCGAATACAAAACCATATCTGAAATATAGTCGCCATCCCAGAGATGTGAGGTAGGTTAAACATAGGAAATCAATAGATGAAATTCATCACGTCAATAGACTCAAAGATAAAAATCCTATGATCATCTTAATAGATGCAGAGAAAGAATTTTACAAAATACAGCACCCCTTCATGTTCAAAATACTAGAAAAACTGTGGATATCAGGAACACATCTCAACATTGTAAAAGCTATCCATGTTAAGCCCCAGGCCAACATCATTCTAAAAGGAGAAAAATTGAAAGCATTCCCTTTAAAAACGGGAACAGGACAGGGATGCCCTTTTTCAACACTTCTATTTAACATAGTTCTTGAAACTCTAGCCAGAACAATTAGACAAACAAAAGAAATTAAAGGGATACAGATAGGGAAAGAAGAACTCAAATCATCACTGTGTGCTGACAATATGATTCTATAACTAGAAGAACTAAAAAATTCCCCCAGAAATCTTCTAGAATAAATGAATTCAGCAGAATAGCAGGATATAAAATTAACACCCATAAATCAAAGACATTTCTGTTCATCATTGACAAATTCTCAGAAAAGAGAAACTAGGAAAACCACCTCACTTACAATAGCCTCAAAAAAAAAAAAAAAAAAAAAAAAAAAACTTGGGAGTCAATGAAAGACTTCTACAATGAAAAACAATAGAATGCTAAAGAAAGAAATTATAGAAGATCTTAGAAGATGGAAAGATCTACCTTGTTCTTGGATAGGCAGAATTAATATTATCAAAATGACCCTTCTACCAAAAGCACTATACATTGATTCAATGCAATCCCAATCAAAATCCCAATAACATTTCTCATAGAAATAGAAACAGTAATCATGAAATCCATCTGGAAAAATAAGAGATGCAGAATAGCCAAAGCAGTCCTTAGCAAGAAGAGTGAAGCAGGTGGCATCATTATACCAGATCTTTCCAGGGCCTCACACATGCCAGGCAAGCACTCCACCACTGAGCCACAACCCCAGCCCCATCTGTCCAATATTTCTATGTTGGTACTGAGCACCACAATAAGAAAAATGTGACAGGTCGGTAAGTAGGTAGGTTGATGATAGGTATTTAGATAGACTTAGGTGATAGATAAATGGCATATAGTTTAGAAAGGAAGATATAAATCTGTCTTTAGTCATAGACAATATCATAATTCACTCAGACTTTTCCAAGGGATATATTTAAAAATAAGTACACCTAATATGGATTTTGCAAGGCCACAGGATAAGTTCAATCTACAAGAAGCGATAGCATATTTATGAGAGCAAGAATTTGCGAATACAATTTATATACCCTTGTACATATATATTTATATATATAAATTTCATTTGCAAACTGATATTTTAATGTTACTGCAGGTCATATGTATATACACACATGCATTATGTACATAATAGACACAAAGAACTTGCAATAACATTAAAAGCTACCTGAAATAGTGGTCAAATCCACAGAGAGGGAAATAGAATGGTGTTTACCATGGGCTGGGACGATGGAGGAATAGGGAGTTAGTGCTTAATGGGGACAGAGTTTCAGCTTGGGAGGAGGATAAAGCACTGGAGTTTAAAGTACTTGGGAGGAGGATAAAGTACTGGATGGATGTGACAGCAGAATGAACCGATCATACCTAATCGCACTGCACTCTACATTGGAAAATGGTACAAATACTTAGGAGTGGATTTAACGGAAGATAACCAAGACTTCCACACTTGAAACTTCAGACCATCACATAAAGAAAAGAAAACCTGAACACATGGAAACACTTTCAGAGACTGGAACCTCGAGAGTTTTAAGGTGACAATTCTCCCCAAAGTGCCATACCACCCCAATAAAATGCTAGTAAGATTTTTTTTTTAATTTTTTTATTTTTATGTGGTGCTGAGAATCGAACCCAGTGCTAGTAAGATTTTTTCATAAATTATTTTTAATTCCACAAGGAAGTAAAACTATATAATGAGAAAGGAGTTGCCCCCAAATGAGTAAAATCAACTTCACTGGTAAAGAACACACTGACACCACACACCCCCAGATAAAGGATAAAGCCACAAAAGGCCAAGGAATGATTTATCCTGGAAGGATAAAGCCACAAAAGGCCAAGGAATGATTCTGGGTTACAAGACACTAAACCAGCATGGTTAATGTCCTATGCTAGGGAGGAAATCTGAAGAGTATTAGGGGGATAACTGGGGAAAGTAGAATATGAAGGGAATATATTCTGAACTTGAAATGTTGAGTTATAAGGCAACACACACTCAAGTATTAAGGGGCATCTTTTATTCACTAGGGGATTCAAGGAGAGTTACATTTTCCAAAAAACAGAACCTATCATGACAAGGTGGCACTGAGAAAGAAAATGAGTCTGGCTTCTCTGTTGCTTCAACCTCTGTTCGAATTGAATTGAACTTGATAAAGCGGATGGCCTGATGATTTTAACACCAAATGTGGAATGTCGGTCTTCTGCCTGGGTTCACTTACCAGCTAGAAGGCAGTTTGGTTTCTCCTGAAGTCACTTTTAATTACTGGCACGACAGTTGGAAGTTTCAACTGCTGTTGATAGTGCTACTTTTCTGTAATTAAGGATGAAGTTTGAATTCTGCTTATGACAGTTTCCCCCAAAATAGCAAGGGAAGGAGCTGGGAGTAGAAGACACCCAAGTTCTGTTCAAATGCTCTGGGTACGGGCAAGGCCTTTGAATCATGCCCATGGAGATGCTCATTATGTGGTTCCATACAGGAGCCTGGAGATGAGGATATAAGTTGGAGTTGGAAATGGAGATTCCAGGGTCGTGAGTCATTGAGTAGAGAAGGGTGGAAGACTTGGAATTGCTGGATGTCTATTAAGTTAAAGAACAAGAGGGATCGGGACATGGCCCCACAGAGGGTGA